CAGGAATAGAGTTGAAAAGTCCTTGTGTGTGTGTGTGTGTGTGTGTGTGTGTGTGTGTGTGTGTGTGTGTGTGTAGGCAGAGAACAACGTGTGATATCCTTCCCTTTTATCTTTACTTGAGTTCCAGGGAATTGAGCTCAAGTTCTCAGACTTATGTAGCAGGAGTTTTTTTCCCCACGAGCTTTCCTACCTGCCCAGTTTGCCATATGTGTGTTGTTTTGTTGAGACAGGATTTCACGCAGCCCTGGATGACACTGAATTCCTAATCCTTCAGCATCCACTTTCTTTCTGCTGTGATTATGACTCCAAGCCCCACATCTACCTTCTGTTTGGTTCTATGTTAAGTCAGTTTTATAATAATCTGTTTCTATATATATGTTTGTCTGTGACCTCTCATTGGCAGCTCTCTGAAAACAGAATCTTCTCTTTATCACTAGGGTAGCATCCACAGTGGCAGCTCACTGCTTGGGAAGATGGCAAAGCAGTCCTCAAAAGTGATGTGTGAGAAACGTGATGTTTCATGGTGCCCTTCAGGAGCAAAGTACCCTAGCAGTCAGTTTCTCTGTAGCTGTTGCTGTAGCACAATTCAGGTTAGAGATAGTGGTTTACCACAGCAGCCCTCAGGCCTCCTACCCGGATGTCCACTCAATCTGTGTGAGGTGGATTCTAATGGGCAAAGATCAGCACTGCTTGTGAGAGAAGGCAGCATAGCTTGTGACCAGAGGCAGGTTGGCCTGTCTCTCCAATGACTATTGAATTGCATTTACTTGTACTGCCATGATTACAACATAGCACAGTTATTACTTGGCTGCTGACTGGTTTCTCATACGCTGGCCTCTGCTTCTACCCCATACTCCCATCCCTTTCCTTTTTTAATGAGGTAGGATTTTGATATGACACCAAAGCTGTCTTTGGCATCACCGTTCTCTTGCCTCCTTCAGTCTCCTGAGTGCTGAGACTGTGTGTGTGCCACTGTGCCTGCTGCCATTGGAAATTTTAATTGCTGTCGGATCATCATTATATTTTTATCCCTAAGTGGATCAATTCTTAGCACTCGTCAGTTACACTTACTCTTTTTCTGGGCAAACTGTTATTCACTCTTTTTTCACCTTATTGACACCTAGGTCAATATTTCAATACCAAGAATTAAAAGTGTTTTAAGCTGAGGTTTTCTAATGATACGTACCGCTTTGTCATAGGCGTTGTGTGATTTGCTTTCTTCCCAGAAATCTGCAAGTCTGTTGGCCCCATCGGGGTGAATCATGGCCAGCTGAGCATCTCTATGCAAAGGCCAGGTGACATGCAGAGGGTGCTTAGGACAGGAAGAACATGGTGATCTCAGCCTCTAGTTAACAAGATTTATTTTTCATTAGAGCGCATGTATGTCTGTGTATGTTCAGGTTGGGTGTAGGTGCCCGAGGAGGCCAGAAGGGCATCGGGTTCTCTGAGTAACAGGTGGTTGTGAGCCTCCACATAAGGATGCCAAGACCGAACTTAGGTGTTCTGCACGAACAGGGAGTTCTCTTAATCGCTAGTTATCTTTCCAACTCTTTAAGGTAGATTTAAATAGAGATCATCTAAAAGTTTTGATGTGTGTTTCTTTTTTCCTCCTGTTGGAGGAGGGATGCATGTTCATCACAGGTGAAGTCTAAAGCGATAGAGATAGCAATCACATGCCCAGGCTTGGGCCTCCCAGCTTGCTACTTTATATTTATCTTCTGGTCCCTAAACTCTTCAGAAATAAAAACTTTATCTTTTGTTTTCTATTGATGCTTACCAGAAGTTAGCATAAGCAGTAGGCTCTTTAAAAGGTGGCTTGCCTTCATTCAGAAACTTGGCCAGTTTTATAATCCCAGCATGAGATGCTGCAGCAAGAAGATAAGATTACCATTAGTCTGAGGGCAGCCTCGGCTTCATAGTGAGTTTCAGACTAGTCTGGGCTATAGAATAAGACCCTCCCTCAATAAAAACAGAACAAAACAAAAGCAACTGAAAAGAAGAAACAGAAGGAAGAAATTTGGTTTGGCTTCCTGTCCTGACTAATGGCCAGTCCTACTAGATGGCTTACCCTGTCCTCAGGGCCTTGTAGAAGTAAATTGACCAAAAGAGTTTTATTCACAATTTTGTTGGGATTTGAGGGTCATCTTGGGGCATCTGTTAGAACCCACTCCATAGAGAACTGTTTATCAAATGGCATTAGCTAGATCATATATTGGAATTGATTTAAAACTTAGCAAAAATGACAGTAATTTCTTGAGATAGTAGTTAAAGCAAATAAACTTAGAAATCTAATTATAAAGTTTCCAAGGTCCATAAGATGTGCATACAGAAAACTGTACATATCAATCCACGATATTCTCTAAAATCTTCCCTTACAGATTTGGAAAATACTTATATTTTTCAGCAATGAAAGAAGTATGTTCATTTATAGGTTACATTTATTGAACTGAAGGAAATTCTTTTAGCATAAGAATTTCACAATAGAAAAGTACAATTTCACATAAAGTTAAAAACAACAACAAAACCACTTCATTTCCTAAAATGTAGTATATAAGACAAAATTTAAACAGAAAAGTCCTTGTTTCCTGAGGGGAACCAATGATCTGATTTCTTCAAGAGATGCCCAGATGCAGTTGCTGTGGGCAAACTGTACCTTAATCCTGTATCCGGTACTGTTGAGGGCAGCAGGTGAGTCCTAAAAGTGACTGAAGGGACACCGTCAGACTGTCCTAACTGCCCTGAAGAGCTGTAGGGGCAGAATGTCACCCGATGACGCTGCTGTTGAGAGCTTCTGCTGGAGAAGAGCGCAGTGTCCCTGAATCTGGGAAGAGCCCCCGGTCTGGTCTCCTGTCTGTTTCTTGTCATGTGATGTAACTTCCTTGAGTTTCAGTTCTCTTCCCGTATGAAGAAAAGTTTTAGCACTAATGATACAATTTGCTGAGTCATCATTACTATGATTAGTTATCATTGGCTGTTCTGTTGGGCTTTACAATTTTGTATTGTTATGATTTTAAACACACAAATTCTACTGTTCTCTCTCATTCATTCCTACTTCAGCTTTGCATAAATATTAGGGAAAGGAATGTTTAAGCCAGGTACTATGCATTTTGAAAAAACTAGATTTGTTGCTCTAGAGCATAGAGAATCATTAATAAATATAATATTTAACATACTGAAATCTTACATATATAATCTTACTATACTTTTGAGTTTTTTTTTTTTTTTTTGGTACTGGAAATTGATCCCAGGGCCGGGTTCATGCTAAGCAAGTGCCCTATCACTGAACTATATTCCCATATCTCTTTAAATATTAGTGAGATGCATATGATATACCAAAGTGTATTTTAAAAGTTAATTCATCAAAATATATTCAGGGTTTGTCCTTGCTGCTACACATACAGTTCTTTGTGTTAATCCTTGCTGTACAGCAGGGAAGAGCTTCAGTGTAGACTGAGACCATCGTGTGTGCTTAGGTCAGCCTGGCTGTGTGACAGTTCTGTGGACTGTCTGTTAGACCCCCCAGGAAGTGTGTCAACAGTCATACACTAGCTGGAGTTACGGCAAAGTTACGTGGTTGTAAGTTGCACTGGACACACTGAAATTGGCCTTGCAGATTCTAAGTAGTAACAGGGCGTTCTCAAGGCGCTGATAAGGGTAGCAACTTATTTCTATCATTAAAGCGGGTACAGTTGCAGCTGGATAAAGGTTGGGGTCCAAAGTGTATCCTTCACTGACCTCAGGTTAATGTGCAGCCTAACCCCGTAGGGTCCTGGGTTGCTAGGTTAGTCCCTATTCTTGCTTGCCTCACATGTATGGAACCTTTCTTCAGATTTAAAAATGAAATCTTTTAATTAGCTTACAAAGTAGCAGGTTTCCTTATGGCTTCGTCATACATCCTTAGTTTGGGTTGACCTCTACTCTCGATTGTATTCTTCCTTTCCCAGTATCCCCTCTTCTACCTTCATCCTCCTTCCAAGCTCCACGTAGTTACAGATGTGAAGTGTGTTTTATATAGGCTCGAGGTTACAGAGGTTGCCTGTCCCGAGTTCCTGCCGAGGCAAAACTTCAACGGACTCTTTTAGCATTATGTGTTTTATATGACTGGTATTACACTGTCTGCCCTGTACTATTTGTAAACTAATATAAGACTCCAATAATGGAGCACTGAGAATATTAATCATAACACAGAAGCAGTTGAATGCTGATATTTAGCATATTTTCTCCTTAAGTTTTAGCTGCTGTATCAGACTTAGGGCGAGGGATCAGTCACGTTTTGGGGACATTTGTAAAGAACTGAGGCTTCAGGATCTAGTCTGTCAAGGTGAAGCCACAGTTACTAATGTGTGACTTTGGCTAGGATTAAATTTTATTGTATCCATAATAAATAAATAAATTTAAAAAAATTTAATTCTGTCTGCATGTATGCCTGCAGGCCAGAAGAGGGCACCAGACCTCATTACAGATGGTTGTGAGCCACCATGTGGTTGCCCGGAATTGAACTCAGGACCTTTGGAAGAGCAGACAAGGCTCTTAACCGCTGAGCCATCTCTCCAGCCCCTAGGTTTAAATTCTTAAAGCAGAGACTTGAGGGCAGCAGCGGGAAGAAATGGTTAAAATCTGGTCACGTGATTGGAGGTCAAGGTCTGAGCTAAAGTCCAGTCCCTCTCGTGCTGTTCTATTCACCAGTACAGTCTGCCAGCGAGTGCTTCAGTACACCTCGCCTGGCCACTGACCATGACCTGGGATCCCTTCAACTTCTCACACCCCCTCTCTCTTATTATGTGTTGTAAGGAGGGTTGAGTTTCATTGAGTGGGGATACAGCCTGAAGGGTTGGTGATAGGATCACAGAACCACTGGGCCTTGCCCTCTGGAGTGGCTGGTGTTGGTGGTGTTAGCCTGCAGCTCTTTGAATGATTGCACCTGTTTAACTCTGGTATGCTCTGTGCTCGCTAGAGCCTGTCGTTTCATGAAAGTGCTCCTCTTTTCGCCCTGTTTTTAGATATAATACTTTGCCAAGCAGAAGAACCCTGAAGAATTCAAGATTAGTGAGTAAGAAAGATGACGTTCATGTCTGTATCATGTGTTTACGAGCCATCATGAATTATCAGGTATGTGTTGAATTGTCAAGTATGTGTTTGTGTCAGTGCCTTAAAAGAGTCTGGTGATAACGGGTTTAGATTTCTCTCTCTCTCTCTCTCTCTGGTGCATGTATATGGGTGTTGGTCTTTGTATAATTCTTTGAAGTGAAGAGTATGATTTAATGAGATTTCGTTCAGAAAATTCTGATTCATTCTAATGCTCAAGGTTTAGGTCCTTGGCTTCATATTTTAGTATTTAGAATTTATCATGTAGTGAGTGATACATTATCTTTAGCTAAGTGCATAGCCACGGTGCTGTTGGCAAGAGCAGTTTAAGCGTGTGTGTGGGGGGGTGTTAAAGAATGGCTTTCAGAGCACACAGTAAGATAAAAACTCTGGAGTCCGTGGTTCTTCCCAATGTATGCCCCTTTAATACAGCTCCTCATGTTGTGGTGAGCTCCTGTACCATAAAATTTATTTTTATTGCTACTTCATAACTGCCATTTTGCTACTGTTGTGAATCATAATGTTATCTGACAGGTGTCCCCTGAAGGGGCAGAGACCCACAGGTGGAAAAACCACTGCTAGACTTTGATTCTTTGAAGGGACTTTGCTGTGACAGCCAGAAGGGAAATGGGAAGGTGTAGCTGAACTCAGGCTGTGGGGTCAAGCGAGGGTTCTGTTAGGTATATTTGAATCTTTCAGAACATTTTATGTCTTTTGCCTTTTTGAGATAGGATCTTAGGTAGTTCAGGCTGGCTTTGAACTCCTGATCCTCTTGCCCACCACCTTCAGTGCTAGGGTTACAGCCCTGTGCCTCCATGCTGGTTCATAGAATGTTCTTGAGTAGGTGAGAGGGAGTGAGGTCAGGGATTCCAGCAGAGGGGCTGGCCTCAGACTGGAGCGTAGACCTGTCTATCTCTCAGAGGAGGTGGATTAGCTTTTGCTTTTTGGAGAGATGCCTTGCCGTGTGGTCCATGCTGACCTCTAGCATGTCACTTTCCAGCCTCAGTCTCAAAAGTCTTTTTTCTTCTTATTTTTTCTCTTGTCCATTGGTTGCAAATATTTTCTCAGCATGAGAGGATGATCAAAGCTGTGTGGGTGGTTGGAAGACCCAGTAGTTGCTCCCTTAGCCGTATCTGGATTCTTGATGTGGACTGGCTCGTTTGTATGAGTGACAGGGCAAGTGTGCATCAGAACGGCCATTGCCAAGGGGTGGAGTAGGGGGTGTGTTAGGGAGATGGACTTCAACCCAGGTGCATGGTGGAGTCATTCTGAATGCTTGGAAAATTCACATTTTGGGCCTTTGACTTTGAAATGCAGAGTCAACAGATCTAGGTGGCTCTTGGGAATTCAACCAGGACTTGATTTTGTTTGGGCTTCATGGTGATTTAATGCGTATACAATTTTCCAATCACTAGAGCCTTTCACTGGTTTAAAAAAGAAAAACACATTGTTCATTCATAAATAATGGAAGGATGCCCATGAGCAAAGTACCCTTTAAAATGGATGGCATCTTTTGAGAATTTGGGGGGAAGAAGTCTGTTCTCACACTGATGTGCTAAGAGCTCAGCTGCCTTCCTAGAGGATACGTGTCACATGAAGCAGAAATGTCTGTGGGTTTTGGCAGTGTTGGAGACTGGGTCTCAGGGCTCGCTCATGGGAGGCAGGCTCTTCCACTGAGCTATACCACCAGCCCAAGTGTTTGGTTTTTAATCAACATTGAAACTCAGCTTGTAATGCTTTCCTTTTCCCCTCTCCATTTCAGTATGGTTTCAACATGGTCATGTCTCATCCCCACGCTGTCAATGAGATCGCACTAAGTTTGAACAACAAGAATCCCAGGTAAGCATCGTTTGTAATGTTCAAGTCTAAATCTCACCAGGAAAGCGGAGGGCTAGTCAACATTTACCCATTTTCGGATGGAAAATCATCCAAGAGTGGCTCCCCTACCAAGCAAGACTGGCTGTAAACCCCTTGCCTATGTAGAATGGTTCGTCCCTTTGACCTGGTTAAACTGTAGGGAACAGAGTTCAGCACTGTGACAACGCCTGCTCTTTTCTCTACTTTACCTTGCATTCCCTGGGTAGCCTGGTTCCTTGAATCTCTACTGAAAACATTGATGGGCAGGATTAGGTTGCCAGTTCACCCAGGCATGGAGTCCGGAGAGTATTGCTAAAGGTTGGGCTACACCAGCTAACAGGAAACCTCAGCAGCCCACTGTGCCCTTATGTCTCTTGTTACCTTCACGCTTGTAGCTTAGTTAAAAACTGAAAAAGAAACACACACACAAATAAGAGTTGTGTGCACCGTTTCCTTTGTTATGTGTACTGTCAAGGCCAGCGCCACATGTTGTAGACATTTTACTCGCTGTTTGCTTTCTGGTTGTTGTAAAAGTATTTTGTCTTACAGTGGTTTCCGCATTTCAGCTGTGAACACTCTCTCATCAGATGCCCTTTTAAGGACTGAAGAATGATCTAGAAACTGTTAATTGCTCTTAAAAAAAAAACAAACCTCTGATTCTAAATTGTCCCTTTTAAATTCAAAGGGAATACAAATTGTAAAGTCCCGTATGCATATTGGATAGTTTGGTTTTGTGATTGCTTTTGTAGTTTACTAAAATACAAAATAGTCTTGCTTCCTTGTCTCTGACTTCGGCCACAGGGATGTTGTCATTCATTTTTCTTAAGACAATCGACATTGTGGAGTCTCAGAGCAGTGTTTGTCAAGAGGCTGGCAGTAGTTTTTATTCTGGAACAAAGATGAAATGCGAAAGCAGTCTTATGATGAGAAACAACGCTGTCTCTTTCTTCTTGTTTTATTTGCAGACTTCGAATTCATCTCTCACTTCTACCAAATGATTGCAAATGCAACTTTATTTTCTTGAGTCAGAGAAAATTTTTTTTATTATTATTATTAATTCAGCTATATTTGGGCACTTTCCCGGTCTCCGACGTAAGAACAAATACTGGAAACTTGTGTGGCATTTTCAGTGGCTCCAGTTCCAACAGTGAAAGGCAGAACATTAATTCCAGCTGATTTTGAATTTTGTCATGTTATGCTATTGACTGTTAAAGCTGACCACCCCCACCCAGTCCACACTCAGTGCAGAGTGCGTACTTAGGAAGGTCTCAGAATGCGCGTGGTGCCCTGGAGTTTCTGAAGGTTTAATGAGTGTTCGGGCCAGGGCTCAGTTCCCTGGGTGTTCATCCTGGAAGGAGCAGCTGACTCATTATGTCTCCTTCAGTGATTTATGTTTTTCTTTCTTGTTTTGACAGAACAAAGGCTCTTGTCTTGGAGCTGTTGGCAGCCGTTTGTCTCGTCAGAGGCGGGCACGAAATAATTTTATCAGCTTTTGATAACTTCAAGGAGGTAGGACGCATAGTTTTGATAAGAGTACACAAATGTCTCCCATCTTTGAATAGAGCAGTTTACCTTTTCATTGACTCTAGGACCATGGAAGCATAGATAGCTAGTTTTCTTGAGGCATGCCTGAGTTTCAGTTGAAGTGTCTTATGTAGCTGAATGAAGATTTCTTTGGGTATCTCATTTCCATCACTTGTTACCACTGTGTGCTGTATTCATTTTCCTTTGGAGCATGGGGACCATCATGTATCTAACAGGCTTTGATACACATCATTGAATTAAGATCTACAGTCTAACTTCCAGTAAACTTTATGAATTCTTTCATCATAATTATTTCTCCCATGTCCTGTTTATTTTCATTGTTTTGCTGGATGCTAAGTATGTAAAACTTATCAAACCTGTCAAATAGGAACACCCTTTGTAAGATTTTATAATTCTGAGAGATGCTTTTATACACACACATGCATGCATGCATGCTTAAACACTCTCCCCACAGACCTACTCCCCCACCCTTCACACCCCCCCAACACACACACACAAAAGTTAAAAGTGGTTGTGGAGGTGCACAGTCCTGCAATTCCGAGCATTGGGGCAGAGCAGAAAAGATGTAAAATGATGATTTGGCTACATAGTGAGTTCCAGGTCAGCCTGGGCTGCAGGAGACCCAAAAAGAAAAATCCCCAACAACAACAAAAGATGGATATATTTGGTTGAAACAGACTGACCACTGGAGATAAGGCTCAGTGTATCCATGGTAGGTGGTATGGAATTTGTCTCTTGTGTATAAAAGCCTTGGTTCAGGTCCTTGCACTAGTGGGAGGGAAGACTGATCTTAAAAACAGAGGCCATTAAACATAGGTGCAAGTGAGTCTGCTACGAAAATATCAAGACATCTCTACTGAGGAAGTAGCTAGTTTTCCTTTGGCTTAGTAGGCAGTGCTGTGGCCAAGCATACGGACTAACTGCTTCTATATAGTCCTCCTGTGTATGCCACACCTCAGGCCATTTTGGAGAAAATTCCAAACAACCCTGGGACTCAGAGGCCTAGGGTGGTAGGGTTCTTAGCCAAGGTATTCCTTAGCCTGGCAATACTATTTAATTCCAAACATTTCTGCATTAAGACTCAGGCTTACCAGTCATAGTGGTACATGCCTTTATTCCCAGCACTCATGAGACAGAAACATGTGGATCTCTATGAATTCCAGGGCAGTCTAGTCTATACAGTGAGTTCCAGGACAGCCAGGGTAGTGTAGAGAGATCAGGTCTCAATCAATGAATCAACAAATGTTCACACCAAGCTGGTTTAAATATGGTTCCCTGAGGGAATTCCAGAGAGCTCTGTCACCTTTGCTGGATGTCTCTAGAAAAGGTTGTGAACATGTTTCTTGAACACCAACCATACGCCAGTGCATTACCAACTCCAGTGCAAACCATCTTCAGTGGTTTAATTTCATAGAAGAATTTCAGGTAGCTGGTGTGGCCACAGCAACATGGGCAGGTTAGTCAGTGGCCATGCTAGGTTCAACACTCATTCTGATTCCAAACTTCTAAGATGTTTGTGACTCTTCTAAGGGGAATAAAGGAAATACTGAATTTGACAGGACTTCAGAGCTATTCTTTGCCTTGAGAAGGGAGATGGTGCTGTTAAGGTTAATCAGGGGGACCATCAAATAATGACTTTAAAAATAAATATATGTGTATAGCCTCAGTGGTAGTGAAATCATACCTGAGTTCTAAGAGGAGAATGAAAAATAGGGAATCTGTATGTTCACATTTGGCTTCTAAAACAAATGAACTTCAGGGGTAAGAATGTATAAATGTTTGTCTATGAGTCTATATATGGCATATAAAAATATACATTTCAGGGGGCTGGAGAGATGGCTCAGTGGTTAAGAGCATTGCCTGCTCTTCTAAAGGTCCTGAGTTCAATTCCCAGCAACCACATGGTGGCTCACAACCATCTGTAATGAGGTCTGGTGCCCTCTTCTGGCCTGCAGATATACACACAGGCAGAATATTGTACACATTATAAATAAATAAATTAAAAAAATACACATTTCACATGTACAAATAAGTGCATTTGGGAGATGAATTTAAAATACAAGCTAAATAGAATCCTTACCATGAGGCCACACTTGAAAATATCACATGCTATATTTCATTATCATATGCCAAATCTTGTCTACACTGGAAACATTTACTGCATATTTATTCATGATCATAGTTATAATAGATCTCATACCCTGTAATATAAGTTTAATAACCATTTGATCATACTGTAAGCAAAATTGTATATTAAAATTGTATCCATTTGAATTAAAGCTCTCCATTTAGGAGATACTTTTGTTTTCTCATACTTATTTGTAGAAGACACACAGATACATGCAGAATCGAGTCAGATCTTCCCATGTCAAGGATTTCTCTGTCAAAATTGTGCATGTTTTAGCTATTTAGGGGATGGCACATGCTTCGTTGAAGAAAAAGGAATTCCTGTACCCAGTCGCTGGCAGGCAACGATGAAGGTGAAATTATGACTTGTATCAAAAGCAGTAGTTTCCGGAATCCCTTATTTGTTTGGTGGATTAGATTCTGTTTCTCTTGGCTTCCACCTTTGCATTGAGAGGCCCTTAGAGAACGACAGACGTTGCTGATGTGACTAGCCTGTGGATGGATAGCTGGCGGATGCTTCCTTGAGCTGAGCCTCCCTCAGCACTGTTTGGAGTTCTGGTCGTGCTCCTTCTTTTCTCCCAAGCAGCGTGTACCTTGCCTAGAAATCCATGGGCTCATAAACCCCTGCTGACTGTGTAGGGTCTTGACCAATCCTCATTGTAGATTCAGACAGTTTCTAGTCAGTTCCCCACAAGTTTTCACCCTGGACCTTGTTCCCATCCTCTCCCTTTAACCACCCTCCTTTCGTTATGTTCTTAGGTATAGTCGAGAAAATGTCCTGATTAATAGACACTTTGAAACCATGGCAAAGAAAGCGTTCACTGGGTTACAGGACAAGTGCTGAGTTCCAGAAGACTGCCATAGAAGAGCTTGTTGTTAACACTGTTGATAAGACCTGGGGGTTTTGAGATACCAGTTCTCCCAGGCTGCTGGCATGTATCCATGAATGTTTTCAGGATTCAGATCAGTTGTAACTATTTTCATCTGCTTCTGCAATGACAACATCTGGCTTGAGCATAAAAGCCCCCTTGGTTAGCAAAGGTCCTACCCCCTCCACTTCTGAACTTCCAAGTGTAGACACACAGAGCCCTCTAAAATGAGTCAGTCAAGGCCACCAGCTCTCTTGTATGCAAGACTTTTGGCAGTATCCCTCATCCTCCTCTAGTTGCTAGAAGACTTAGGCCTAGCTATTGGGCATCTAAAAGCACTTGTACTATGCATTATTAAGTTAATTTTTTTTAAAAAAGAAAGCCTGTTGTCTTGGGATTTCTATTGCTGTGAAGAGACACCATGACCACAGCAACTCTTATAAAGGAAAACATTTAGAGATTTATTCCTTTATCATCATGGCAGGAAACATGGCGACAGGCAGACACGGTGCTGGAGAGGTAGCTGAGAATTCTGCATCTTGATCCACAGGCAGCGGAAGGGTATTGTGTGCCAGACTGGGTGCAGCTTGAGCAAATGAGACCTCAAAGCCTGCCCCCATAGTGACACACCCACTCCCAAAAAGCCACACCTCCTAATAGTGCCACTCCCTATGGGCCAAGCATTCAAACCTGTGAGTCTCTGGGGCCATCCCTGTTGAAACCACCACACCTGTCAAGTGTCTTTCACAGTGGTCCAAACTGGAAAGGAGAAAAAACAACAACAGCAACAACAACAACAACAACAACAACAAAAAACCCAGACAGTCTTGGGTGTTTCCAGATTTTCTCTAGGTTTAATTTCATTGACTTCATTAGTGTTTGAGGGCATGGGGTTATAAATCCAGCATGGACCATGCAGCTAAGTCTGGAAGTATTCAACATTTTAAACACGAGAGGAAGAGTTCTTTTCAACTCTCCAGCCATGAGATCCATAGTTGTAGAGCGTGTATCCACTGCATTATACCAGCCTTGAACTAGATTATCGAGTTTACCAGGACACCTCTGGCTGCTCTGTTTTCTTGAGTGTGGGAAGCAAAGTCGTGTGCCCTGTTAACATGCTGTGTGTTTTTGTTCATTGACTTGTGTGGGTGTGCAGCTCTCAGATTCTGTGGGTCAGGATTCCAGCTTCTCTGAGGCTCTCTCCACTCTTACTGTATCTAGCATCTCTCAGGGAAGATGTAACAGCCTGGGAGGCTTCTCCACGGGCGCATCTAGTTTGGGATCTGTGATTTCTTGAATCAACTGGGACTGTCAACCAGAGTGTTCCCAGGTCATGGCGCCTGGCAATCTACCGAGAGTGCTGTTTGAAGGGCGTCGCGGAAGCATGTACCAGAGACAGACTGAGATGTCATGCAGTGTTCCTTTTGCATCCTGTGGGTTGCCAGTGAGACCCTCAGACCACCCCAGGTCCACGGTGAGATGGAAGGGACAGCTGTGGATAGCTTTTGGAAAATGTAGTTGGATAATAGAAAACACACACACCATACATAATGTATTCATATTTTATAAAGGGGACTTACTGGGTTGGTGATACATCATTGCAGGAACTAAGTAGTCCAACAGTAACTGGCTATCTGCTGGAGACAGAGACTCTGATAGTTGTCAGTCTGTGAAACCAGATGGCCCAGGAATTGCAGACTGGTGCTAGAGTCTGGTGCTTCCTAGAGAGCTGATTGTGTTGTGTCCACACTGAAAAACTGGAGACGCTGGAGTTTAATGTCTGGATGGTGGCTGCAGCCGTATTCATACTTACTCAGAAAGAACGGTGCCTGCACACACACGTTTCCTCTTCTAATTCCTTTGCTTCCAGCCTATTGGATGGTGCCCCCCACATTAAGAGTAGGTCTTTCCCCCTCATTGGCCCCTGCATGTTGGCCTTTCCCCCGTCCCTGGAAACACTCCCACGAT